GTTTATTCGTCTATTATCCAAATTTTGGCTATAGAAACAACACAGACATTATGTTGAAATTCAATCACTTTTTTTTCCATTCAAAAAATTCCATCATTTTCTAACAATTCTCCCTCAATTTACCCATTACTCGTTATCATTGGTAAAAAGTAGGAAAACCGCACGGTGCAGCTTCGCAAGCGCGAAAGAAGCGACGCCGATGAACGAGGAAGACCGATCCGAACGGAACGTTAGAGTTCGCGACAGGTTCGCAGACAGATCTCGCGTTCACGCCCGAGTTCACGCGGTTTTTGTCGCATCGACTGAACGACAACGGCTACCACGGGAACCGGTAACCCTGGACTAACTTACTTTCAGCCGATCCAGCCGCTGAATTACAAGTAGCCTAGCGTACTCTTCGCGGATCGCCCTGAGGATCGTTGTAAACAGCGCCTAAACGGCGATCCGCGTGCAAAGCGTAAAAAGCATAAACGGCGTGCTCTCGGCGTAAACCGTAATTTTCCACGCTACCAACGAACAGCGCAGTCGTTTGAACAACGCTAATTTTTTACGACGTTTCATCTATTGCTAACGATCGGTGTCTGGAGAAAGAACGGCGGCTCACTTGTACAATGAAACGACTAGCCTCTTTGGATGCAAATATTACGTGGCGTGGCACGAAGAACGCTGGCTCGAATTGTCGTTAATTATCGTGTCTTCGACGGTAGCGGCATTTGTTTGAGGATTTATATGGAATTTGTATAGTAGTTTGGCGTGACACGTTTAAGATTAGAAAGTATAGTCTTTGCGTTTTTTTAACACGTTGTTAGCACGCGTGGTATCTAAATCGAGGATGTTTATGCCTTTAGGATACACTTCAGAAACTTAAATGTAAAATGTATAAAACATCCGAAGTAAAACGTTCATTATTATATCTACTGAATAGAACAAATCTGTGTATTTCCAAATTTTTCCATTTTTTCTAGAATATGTACCATTTGTTCTAGAATATGAAATTGCATAAACAACAGTTTAATGATGTCATTCACGTAGTTACGTGTGACGCAATGGTTTTGCATGAAATATCAAGGTTACGTGCATAAGTATAACATAGGAATTTAATCTTTTAATTTGACAAGGCAGATAAAGTCTTGTCTGTACATAGCAGAGATGATTTTTTACAAAGTACGACAAACAATGTTTTACAGTGGCTTGCAATGTGTGCTGATAATTTTAAAGAATGAGGTATTTTGAAAAAGTAATTCTTGTTTATCGATGAAGTTTTTGAATGTATGACACGGTTTAATACGATTTAATAATGAATTTATAAACATGTTAAGATTATGGTCGAAATGTTTCGCTTATTTCGAGAGTAGTAGTCTTTTCAATAACACGCTACTTCAAGTAGTATTGTAGATACACAATCAACGTTTCAAGTGATACAAAGACGAACGTGATAATAGAATTCAATAATATCTCGACCCAGATCTCATGTATTCGCGTGCATAGTACGCGATCCCGCAAATCTTTCGATCAAATCGTGAATACATAAATCTCATTTTCGCAAGGTTAATGTATTCTAAACGATAATATTTCTGCTTTCCCTGCACCGAGGACCATAAATCGTCTTCTTAGCCGTGAGTTCGACCAGCTGGTTTCAGCTACGTGTCGCACGTTTTGACCGTGAAACGGTGGCGTTGCGCAAACCTGGACAAACGTTACGTCACTCGCGACGTGATCTATCATTTGCATTCCTCTTCCGCCTGTTGGATGAATCGCCGATTAGGTCAAGATTGCAGTATAGACAGCGTTTGGTGTTTCGTGTTGCCGGATGAAAACGGCCACGTTCTTCCTGAGTTGTTCGATCAGTGAAACATTAAGCCATCGTCTCTTCGCGAACTTGCCTCGTGAAGCAAACGACTTCTCGATTAGCTTCATCAACCCGTCGTCTGTCGAAGTTATTATCTTTAGCTCTTTTGCTTTATTTTATACCGACATTTTCTTGAAAATTTAAAGGCTCCTTGCTAAACTTGTTATCGATAATTGGGAAACATTTGTAATGAGTTTTAGGCTACTTTAACACGCAAATTTTTTAACTAATCCCTGCTTTTTCGTAGAAAAAACTTTTTACAATTATCATATATTGTCTTGTTTAATTAAAAATCATTATCTATTCAAATTATAAGTATTCGGCGAGCAGAATCAGAGAATACTAGTTTTATAGCATATAGAGAACTTGTGAAATTTAAGCTGAATTCAAATCTGGATATAATTGAATTTAAAACCTTAAACCAAGTCTCACCTAATCTGATCCCGATTCAAACCTACTCTCGCTTACTGTATAAACTAAATGCTGTGACACATCGAGACTAATAAAAATAATTTGCAAAGGAACTTTTCTAATCTAAAAGCTAACATTCTTGTTGAGTACTTGCTATTAGAAAATATAGGGATCTGGAAAAAATATAGCGAGAAATTGTTGACGTCCCAAGATAAAGTTTAATGAAGTTTCGCGTTAGCGGAACGCAGAAGAATCTCCCATGGTAATCTGGTATAATTGAATAGACGAAAAGTGGATTAGGCCACTTTCCTCTAAGAAGGGACGCAATCCAGCTTGATTATTGTCTGCGCGAATTCGAACTTAATAACGTCCCCTATTTTCTTCGTTCCCAGCGCGGCTCTCCGAAGCTAGATTACGTTTAATTACTGTTATGACGTTTGCCAACATGGAACAATGTACATAGGTTCAAAACGAAGAATTCCGCGGGGAACGCAACCTCGGTCTCTCTCATCAACGTGGAAACAGAACTTTTCTATGGAAATCCTGGCTCTTTTATCGTGTGATTTTTTTACATTGTCTCGTTCAATGCAACACACGTTTGCTAATAGTCGAACAGTTCCTGGTTTACGGTTTAAATGAAACGGAAGAAGCGTCGATGGAGAGGGTTAACCTTCGTTCGAGTAATCGAGCTGGATATCTGACGAACGATGCAGATTCAAGAGTCTCGAAACGAGAGGCGATCTCACCTCTGGCCTCGAGATCTTCCGTCACGTTGCGTCCACTCTTTTAACTATCCCATCGTGGAATTATTCCGCGGTTATACCTCGAGGTCGAGGTCGTAAGAACCCTGGGATTCGTGTAAGGAGGTCATCGACCTCCGTTGAAACGGTCTGTTTGAACAATCGGTAAACGAGAACGTGGACGAGCAAAATGATTCGTTATTCTCGTCATTGATGGGACGGTGAAGGTGTTGAGTTTCGCCTGAAGGAAACTTTTCTACTCTTGCTCGGGCACGACGCGACGCACACAGAATTCAGGTGGAATCCACCGGTTTCGAGAACGTTTATGTGGGTCACTCGGGGAATCGTTAAGTCGAACGTGTAATCGTTGAAAGTGGTGTAAATTTTATGCGAACCTTCGATATTCCGATTTCTATGTAATTAATCGATAACGTTAACCTTCATAGAAAATTTCGATTGGTCTTTGTACGAACGTTCCCGTATAATTAGTGCAACTATGTATATATATATTTCTTCTTGCAGTCTTCGCATTTCTTAGTAAAAATATTACTAAACCGCTCTGGATCTCCATCCTTGAAATATTTTTACGGAAATTCCAAATTTGTCGCGTTTATAGAAAAGTTGAATAATTCAAAATATTTCTTTTCCATGTTACAGAATTCGGTAAATTTTTGCAAATCTATAGGACAACTGAAAATTTACTAATAATAATTATATAGTAACAATTAACACTCACATAGTCCGAGTGACGTCATAATGCTGAAGCTTCGGACTTATAAGTACATTTATTACATAATATTCTGACTGTCTACATCGTAACTCGGAAGATTTCGGTTCTCTAGATCTTCTGATATCTTGAAGCAAGTCGCATTAAGCTCGTTTGCGTGTCACGCGCTCGGCACCTAAGAAAGTTCAGTATCTTCTCAGAGATTAAGATCACGGGAATTAACATAATCGTCCGGCTTAATACGATCCTCTGAATGACTGGAGGTCTCGTTATGCGTCTCTGTTGATCATAGGACATAAGCACGGAGATTCCGGTAACGTTGATTAGTCCCTCGAGTCGATTGAATCGGAGCTGCTCACGGGACAGGGATCAACGTGATCCTGACCGTGCTACCCGGACGATAATGGGAAGATGAAAGATCATGCCGGTAATTTTCTCTGCTTCGTAATGCACCTAGTATGACTTATTACTGTCGATCCAACGACGAGCACGTTTTCCACTTTATCGTATCAATGTCGTATTCGAGGATCTTCTAACAGCTGCTTTGAAATTTTCGTCCAGCTAAAATTCCCATTCGAAACGGATCGATCGTATATTTCAGCGATCGTATACTTCCGAGAAAGTTGTCGAATTATCGAGAAAGTTAATCAGGGGGCGACGAGGTATGAAAATAATTAAAGCCTGTTTTTGCAAAAAGAGTAAAAGCGCAGGGAGAGAAGACGATACGGGATACGCATTTTAGCCCAGTTATTTGCTCAGCTGCGTCGAACGGGATAATCGCCCGATCGCCATTGTTGATCCTGGTTAATTTCACCATCCCAATTTCGGAGCGGAGCTCGTTTCACGGTCGTGAACCGTTCGCGACGTGCGTTCACTTTCCACGAGCTGATCACGTCGACGCAACCCCATGGTCCCACGGTCGCGCCGTCAGAACAATCACCCTTCGACGTAGCGTGTGCGTGGTAATAGGAAGATGAAGGATCACGGTGGTAATTTGCTCAGTCAACGGTCGGCGAGATCGCGAAGATTTATCACCGGTATGTTCGATGGACAGAGAGAAAAAGACAAGACGGGAGAAAGGGAAACGATATGACGACAATGCGCGAGACAGAGAACGACGAAGGAAAAGGAAGATGCGAGACCAAGAAGAAGAGAAAGAGACAGAGAGTCCTAGAACTCGAAAACCAGTCTACACACGTCGCGACGCGCGAGAGGTCTGACCGCTCTTGACCCTCGTGCCAGGGTGCTGGAATTTATCGTTCGAAGGACTCACCTCGCCACTGATGCACACGCTGGTTGCCCGTTCGATCCAACGACGAGCGGTTGGTTCGACGCCACACGTTCCTTCGAGATCCAACCACGAGTTTCTTGCAGTAGTCCGAAATATCCAAACGAAGGGGTGATGGGATACAGGCTCCACGGATTCTCGTTCGAGTAGCCGAACCACGACACCGGAGGAACGAGTTTTCACTTTTATTATATGGAGTCCCGCACGCGTCTCCTCTTTCTTCACCGCGTTACGTATCACAGTTTCTTCGCGACCGGTCGACCTCGTCGCGCCGCTATATATTA